TATTTATCTACCTTTAGTAATAAGAGATCTAAACCATTTATTATTTTATAATTATATCTAACCATGAAATTTGGTGATTCACGGGTGAGACACCTATTCAGATACTTCACCCTAGATCCATTTTTTTAATTTTAAGATTTTGGCACAAAATATAATTAATATATTTAATTTTATAAAATAAATTATATAACTTTTGAATATAATTTTAAATCTTTTGAATTTTCACTAACAATTAAAGAACGTATTAATAATAATTAATGTAATATAATAAGAAAAATATGTTTAATAGTATATTGATATTGTAAAACGAAAATTAAATTGTAACAAGCAAGAAATACAAAAATATCAAACAAAATAAAACAAAAGAAGTAAATCATAATATCTTTTAATGAAATCAAAACATGTGACTTTTTAAGTAATTCTTTAAAAAGTAAAAATTATACATCATACAAAATAAAGTTAGTAGATATTCTTGTCTTTTAAATACATGGTCGGAGTTGATCTTTATTTCACGTATATGGAAAAATGTTTGTCAAAAAGAATTAGCTCTTTAAATAAATTTAAATATATTGAACTTGAGGAAATAATCCATATAACTTCCTAACCAGATGAAGATAGTGATTAAAAATAAATAAATAGAGAGTTTTTCATATCTATAACATACATATATATAGTAAAAAAAATTGTGATTATTTTAGATTACATTATGAATAAACTTTAAGAGCATTCAGTGTTTCTCTTAACTTGCAATAAATGGATTTACCCCAGAAGAAGTCAACTGCACTCCTCAGCATTTGGCATTTGAGTCATTAAAATGGGACTTGTCCTTGCGAAACGACCGATCGCAAGTTGCAACATGCAAAGTTCCCAAATGGCGATGGCGAAGCGAAAGAGAGCATGCACAAACCCAAACCCCAAAGGTGGCGGTTGCGGGTTTCCCTTTGTGGTGGGAACCACCCTGTGCGCTCTTCTCACACTCTGGGTCTTATGGTCCATCAAGGAACAACTCAACAAATTTCTCCTCATGCCCGCCGCCACAATCCTCAGGCGAGAGTACGAGGTTATCCTCGACCCTCCCGACAGAACCTTCTACGACGACCCACACCTCAGTTACTCCATCGAGAAGCCCCTCAAAAACTGGGACGAGAAGCGGAGCGAGTGGCTCCGCCTCCACCCCCGGTTGGCCGCCGCGCGCGACTCCGTTTTCCTGGTGACGGGGTCGCAGCCGACGGCGTGCAAGAACAGCATCGGGGACCACCTTCTCCTGCGGTGTTTCAAGAACAAGGTGGATTACTGCAGGATCCACGGGTGCGAGGTGTACTACAACAACCTGCACCTGAACACGAAGATGGAGTCTTATTGGGCGAAGGTCCAGGTGGTGCGGTCCAGCATGATGGCCCACCCGGAGGCGGAGTGGATCTGGTGGCTGGACGCGGACGCGGTGATCACCGACATGGAGTTCAGAATTCCGGTTGAGCGTTACAAGGAGCACAACCTGGTGGTCCACGGGTGGCCAAACGTGGTGTACGCGGAGAGGAACAAGAGCTGGACTGGGTTGAACGCCGGGTCGCTCCTCATCCGGAACTGCCAGTGGTCGATGGACTTGATGCAGGTGTGGGCCCAAATGGGCCCAATAAGCCCCCACTACGAGGAATGGGGGAAGGTGTTGACTTCCGTGTTCAAGGACAAGCCTTTCCCACTCCCGGACGACCAATCCTCGTTGATTTACTTGCTGTGGAAGGAAAGAGAAAAATGGGGCGTGAAAACGTTCCTAGAGGAGGGGTACGAGCTGGAGAGTTATTGGTTGAGCAAGTTGGGGAGGTTTGAAGAGATAAACGAGGGGTACATTGAGATGGAGGAGGAGGTGAGGGGGTTGAGGAGGAGGCACGCCGAGAAGGTGGCTTTGTGGTACGCCGACTTAAGGGAGCCTTACCTTAAAGAGAGAGGCTGGCTGCCCTTGAGCCGAGGGAGGAGGCCCTTTGTCACGCACTTCACCGGCTGCCAACCCTGTACTGGGGATCACAACCCTCATTACAAGGGGGACACGTGTTGGAAGGAGATGCGGAGGGCTTTGAATTTCGCGGATAATCAGGTCCTTCGGAACTATGGTTTTGTCAGGAAGTATTTGACATCCACGTCCGTGCATCAGGTTCCCTTTGATTTTCCCCAGCGCGATGTCTTGCGCTGAACACTCTCTCTGCTCTTCTTTCATTTCTCTAATTCAATTAATACAAACTTCACCCATACCAGAATAAAACTTAATTACTTGTAAATTAGAATTCTACTTACAAATTAAATTAATCAATTAAATCATAATTATTGCTTAACCCCAATAATATTTAATATATAAATCATATAAAAAATAAAATATTTTTTATATAATTTATAATGCTAAATAATATATATATATATATATATATAAACCACAAGTATCTTTTATTATTGATAATTCTGTTTAATTAATTCAAATAAAATTATTATAAGTGCTAAAATTCTCACAATAAATATCTAACATACCACTCTTTAAGGTGAAACTATCATGTGTCAACTGATCAACGATGGAAACAAATAAAATTTCTTTATATCATAAATAGTCAATTATAATGTTTTATTTTTTATTCATATAAGTTCAGACCTTGAAAAAAAAAAGTAGCATTATTAATAAGCACACATTAAATTGAAATTAATATATACCACATTTAAAAAATACATGCCAAAATTGACTTTTTTTTTTAATATACTGTTTTTTTTATTTATTTATTTTTCGATCTATTTAGTGACTTTTATCTTTTGCTAGTAAAACTTTAAATAATTTATTCATATAATTTTCTTTTCTAAATTCATAACTTATATACTCTCTTTTTTTATGTCTTCTATTTATATATTTTTTAATTGT